TTCACTGTCTTCAATTGTCTAAACATGTATTTTATTGGTGAGCTAACAAAGAAAGAGCACCAGGTCCCAAGAACAAACACTTTATTGCATTATTCTATGGAATAAATTCGTCAGATCACATTAAAAAGCATTCCTTCCTCAGCTAAATTAGGACACTTAATTGCGTTTCAGTATCTCTTATTGAAAATGAGCCTATTAGCTAACACTGTGCAGGAAATAGTCTCATAAAAAGCACGTTTTTCCACATAAACTGTGGTTACACCAAACATGCGCCACTGCCAACTATGCTACATTTGAATGCTATAAACTCATTGCCTTTGGAGTAGCAGGACACATAGCAACACATGGCCATAAAAGCTTTAATCAGGCACAAAGCAACTGGTGTGTATCAACACTGTAAAGGTCAACATGAGTAAACAATTTAATGACGGTTTTTCTTTTTTTTTTCTAGTATTAGGAGACATCACACGTCTTAGAAAGAACTAATTAGCAGCCAAGGTAGGCACAAGGCAGTAGTGACAGATATTAACACAGTAAGTGTTGGTACAGTCACAGGCTAATGACTGCACGGAGGAAAAGTAAGTGGGGGAAGGCGAGATTCTTCAAAGAAACATGTCAAACTGTAAGTTCGAAATTTTCACAACCGCTTATCCAACGTTACATTCTGGAGGTGAGGGCGATGGGACGAGGGGTACGCCTGCAGATACCATGAATCTGGCATCAACGCTCATGCAACACCTGTTGTTGTTGTTTTTTTTATTACTGTCTGCACCTATTGTTTCCCTCTAATCTCTTTCATTGTCTTTCTTTCAGAGCAGCGAGCAATATAAGCAGAAAGAGTCCTACACTTTGCTTTCATTCCAAATGCAACATGTGTGAAACATTCAATGTTCACAATGCAAATAAATCAAATTCATGAACAATAATTGAATTTAAACATTAGGTTTTCTCTCTTTACAGATTTTTTTTATGCACATTGCAAAAATATGCTTATCAACCCTTGCAACTTCCAGCTTTAGCAGCAATAGCCTATTTTCTTGTATGAAAGTGGATAACCAATAGTAATTGTGTGGATGCCTCAAAGGGCATCCACACTATTGAGTTCCTGTTTCTCTTTATTCTTGATCTTCAAGTTGTTTCCGTACGTTTTTCGGCGTTCAAATCTTAAAAAAATTCTGCTCTTTCTTGCTATGACTTTTGGTGCTCATAACTTCTATACTTTTTGAGATGTTGAATTTTTTTTGCAATATTTTTTGCCCATTTCTTCCACATTATCAGTGGGGTCACTGATTTTCCTTGTTGGGTTGACCTAGGTTTTAGCTCAGTGAGATGAGCAGCCGTCCTCAGACTGGGAGGCCCGGGTTCAAATCCCGCTTATGGCAGCATTTCATTCAGTTAACAGTTAAACTTTTTTAACTCTTTTCAGCAAAATTTTCAGTTTTTTCTGCTGTTTTCAGAAAAAAACTCTTTTCTGCAGAAATTCTGCTCATTCACCTCTTCTGCAAAATTTTCAGCCTTTTCACCTCTTATCAGCACAATTCTCAGCAGCTTCTGCTCATTTCAGCACCTCTTGAGTGAGTTTGGCTCAGTGAGATGAGTAGCTTCCTTGAGACCAGGAGGGCCAGGTTTGAATCCTGCTCACGGCAAAACTTTTCATCACTTTTCAGAAAAAATTTCTCCGTCTTTACCCCTTTCAGTAGAATTTTTGGCTTTTCACCACTTTTCAGCAAAAAGTTCTGCTTCTTCACTTGTTTTCAGCAGGATTTTCAGTTCTTCACCGCCATACAATTTTTTGCAACTTTTCATCTTTTTCAGCTATTTTCAGCTGACAGCTTCAGCGTTACGGCATCCACACAGCATTTTCGCAGGAAATGCAAATTTTTCTAGTTGAATTACAAATATGCATACCCCCTTTTTCCACATCCAGAGTTTTACAGCAGTTAATATGTCCTGAATTTCATTTTAGTTCCAAACTAAAGTCACTGGAACAGCTTCTATACACAAAGCCTGGGAGAAAGAACTGTTTTATTTGGGGGACAAAAGTACAGGAGGAGACGATCTGTGAACATGCACGATCAGAAAGGAAATATATTATGAGGCTCAGAGAAAAAGACACTAGTAGCTCTAGTTTTACATATTGCATCATATGCACATAATTCTCATGCACCCAGATCTGTTATGCAAATTTCAACACATTACGAGAAAAAAAAAATCAGTCAAGATAATACCCATGCATTAGCTCCTGCCTCTGATTTGTATGCAGAGAGTCTGCAGTCAAAGTCTCGATGAGATGAGTTATGAACCTACATGGAATTACAGTGACGCCGAGTTTCGACTGCCTGCACTCTTTAAACTGCACGCAGAAGCCGCAATGACACAAAGGGAGATTTGCAGCAGATATAAAACTCTAATGTAATTGACTGTGCGCCACAATCAGATAAGCAACACTAAATGTCAAATGACTCCAGCTGAGTGGAGCTTGGCGATAAAATATATAGCGCCCATTACGGCGTGTCAGTCATTCACCGAGCCCGCCTCTTTAACCTGAATGAAGAATAGTTCCTTGAAATCAAACGTGGAAAAAGCCAGGACAGGCTGACAGATCCTCTCTCTTGCATTTTATGCCTAGTTTCCCTCTTATCACAAAATATTAATGTGCCACTGTGGGTACTTAGCAGCCAGATTTTCAGCACCTGATAAATCTCAACCCGCAATTTAAAGCGCAAACTGTATTTATTTTCACTGCGATCGTCATTTGCAACACTGTATACAATTTAAATTTCATATGGGCGGCTGAAGGCTCAACTCGCCCTGAGGAATAAGTCCCCCTCGCGTACCATTACTCAAAGTGACTGCCTCGCTCCACGGAGACAGAGAGAGACAAATGTACACGGTGCAGTAATGAACTGTTTGCCATTTGGGTAAGCGATTGGGTCACGAGACTCGCATACATACGTACTCACGAGAATACAGTACTGCAGCATTTCATCACAGACGTTCATATAAGAAGGAAACGTCTCGAGTTAACATGATTGAAGTGATGATGACAGGTCTCTGGCTGTTCTTGCTTTTATGTTGTCTGTGGTGTGACTAAATGATATGCTACGATAATGATGGTTGTCAGCTAAAGTTAGGAAAATCAAGCAAACTCACTTCCAAAAAATATGCTTTTTTTTACAGTCTTGCCTCAAAAAAACTTTGTTTTCCCCGTGTGCCTGACAGCCCACAGCTCCTTATTTGTCTCCTCAATGCACAATAACCCACTGCGACCTGACTTCTCTTTGTCTTGCAAAGATCTGTTATTTTTTCATACCAGTTTTAAGCTGTTTTGACTTTGAGTGACTGAGCACCCGTGACACTGCTTTAAAGAAAGGTGATCTGATTGATGCAAACACCACGAGGATACTCGGGCAAAGTTTACTGTTAATAAATTGCATACTTTTAAGTGGCTTTGCAATTCTTGAAAAACAACTGCAAGACAATCTTTGAAGCAAATGACAGATGTGACTTGTATTCTGTTATGACAGCTACAGTAGAAATAAACACTTTAGTACTGAGAAAAGCTGACACACCACACCACACCCATTGTAGCAGCATTACACAGGCGTGTCCTCTTTTATAGAGCTGATAAAAAACCTTGTATTTCGATTTTACACGTCTCTGACTGGCTCAGCACCAATAAGACAAAGTAACAGCAATGGGACGGACGGCCTTTATTTGTCATTTCCTGCAAAAACAAAGAAACACATGCTGCAGACAAATCTTAACACTTCTCTTTTTAATTTTGCAACCTTGTTTACTTCAAAGAAATACATGACTCTTATTCTATTTTAATATCTGTAAAAAGCTTAAAACATTTTTATGTAAAGCACTTTGGCAACACACCGAGCTACAGAAGCTACGCTGGATGAGCAGCGCAGCAGCAGAGCATATCTGACCCCGGTGATGTTTGCCAATTTAGCTGACCATTATGGCAAACCATGAAAGACATCTATAGGGCCTGCACTGTGCCAGAACTGTAACTATGTTCCAGTGGATTTTGTTTTCCTGCAAAGACAATTGGATCAGCAGGGTTTTTGGACTTTCAATCAAAAGTAGAAAAACTGTCAGCTTTGAGGCATCATCTCCTGCAGCCCTTTTGGCCCCGTTTCCTTTCTGGTCTAGCCATGCCTGACAAGCCATTAGAAGGTCTGTCCGCCTGCCGCAATGGATGGGCAATATTCCAGACAACACCGGGAGTCTGATAAGGCTTAAATCATGAGAGGACAGCTTGGACATGAAGCTAGAGTCCCGCAACCATCATTTTTAGACTATGCTGCACACTAAAAAGGAGAGGCTTCTCATTTTCTTCATTGCTTTTTATCGTTTCATCTGTCTGTCTTATGTTTTACATACGGCCTTGCTGACCACAGTCCCTCCTTACCACACAGCATTTCCAAAAGAAAGATCCCCTTTCATTGGCTCCTCTGGAACACTTTTGTCACATCTGTGCACATGTCTCATTGAATTTGTGATGATGGGTAGGGATTCAGGGATGTCACAGGAAGTAGACAGCAAATAGTAAATACTTCTGACAGGAGCTGTTGGGGGAAAAGGGCTTCTTAATGGCTGGATGCTTCAAAGGCGACAAGAAAATATAAAATGACCATCGCTTTTTGTTATCTTAGCTGTTTCTCCTGAAAAATATTTTCATTTCCATCTCTTTTTATCGCTGCACGCCATCTGAATACACAAACACACACACACACACACACACACACAGAAAAATGGAGAAAACCTCCAATGTCCATTGCATAAAAACAGCCCACTTGTGAGAGGATTAGTAATTTGCAATTTAAACATAAGAGGAGCACTGAGTGATCCTTCTGAATCGCTGCACAAAGAGACGATATGGAAGGGGGCAGCCCAGTTCAGATTAAACATGGACTTCACTTTTAAAAGGCTTACCTTGTTTTGCAAACATGAATGGCCAAAAAACTCCAACAGAACAAACAGTTTACCTTGTAAAGGAGCACAATGATCTGTCGCAGTTTGAGCCTGTGGAAAACGCAGACGTCATACAGCGCTGATACAGCCAGAACGGTTACTCCGAGCTCCTTCCAGAGCATGCTGCAGGCGGCGCAACCCAAGCTACCAAGGAACCAGGCCACGAGCCGCCAGGACCCAGCACACCCCCGCAGCCGACAGTGACGTATGTAACACAGCAGGGACAGCAAGAAGAAAAGGGCGGCACCTTCATCGGCTCGGCCGACTACACCTGCCACTGCCTCGGTGTGAATTGGGTGAGAGGCGAAGAGCAAGCCAGCCAGTAGGCTCCACAGTCCTCCTCCGAGCAGCAGGCGAGCGAGTGAGGTAAACAGGCCTGTCACAGCCCCATGGAGGACCACATTAACCAGGTGGTAACCCCAAGGCTCCAGCCCACCCACAGCATGATTAAGGCGGAAGGAGAGGGTACACAGGGGTCGGTAAGACTTATGGCTGCCGCTGTGTGTGAGTAAGGTGCCCCAGAAATCATCGTAGAAGATGTTTGTCCAGGGCGTCTCTGGAAGCAGGTCCTGATTGGTCTTAATTGCACGGCTGTAAAGAGAGAGAGAGAAAAAATGGTCAGACAAGAACTTCTGATTGCAACAAAACAAGAAAATAGTTCTCTACACGGACAGATCAATCAGTATTTGATCTGAATGTTGCGTTGAGTACTACAAAGACTACTGGTCTCTGACATTCAACAAACGTGTGACAACTGAAGACATTATTTGCTGCTGTGGGTTTCTACAGGCAATGCCTGAACGTGTGGTCATGTGGCATTCACACAGAAAATCAAACGGCGAACTTTAAGTACTGGGCATCTTTGCCACCACCACTTTGGGATTTAAGCAAGAGAACCACACCCAAACCCACAAATACAGACATCCGGTGTGTAATTTTCTGAAGTTAAGAAATAAGGTAGACTGAGACGACACCAGTTTGATTTCTGCTGCAGAGACCGAAGGAACAGATTTTTAGAAAAATCGAGGTAAGTGTCCATGAGTAAGTACAAATTAAAACATTTAATGTGTAATTTTGGCCTCTGCTGGCAGCCGTGGCCACCAAATAAAAGACCAGTTAGACATCCCCTGACAGGGTTGAAGCTACATGACCTATCCTAATGCTGCTACATTAGCCACAAGCTGTGTGTCAGTGGTTGTGGGCACGGCCGACAGGGGTCAAGTAAGGGGGAAAGGAAGGCACATTTCTCCCTACGGGAGTCCTTACATAGATGTAAACTGATTTCCTATCTCTTCTGTCACACTACAAAGTGTCCGACAGCTCGTCAAACCTCTGCTGCTTTTTATCTGCTGATGATTTATCGACTCTTCAAATCAAACAAAGACATCAAAAAAAGCGTAGCGGTGTAATTGCAAATGTGATAGGTGGTGCATGACAGGTGATAACAAGCCAAGTGCACCCCATTGTAATCTCTCCTCACGGTTAACACACGATTAGTCTGGAGACAGATGGGAGAAGGTGAGACGGAGTGTTCAACACCTCATGACGAGCAGTTTTTTAAAAATATATGATTAAAATAAACACAAATTTGAGAAGAATTTATGTATAAAAACCCAGTTGTCTCAAAGGTAATGAACTGCTTCCTCGGCCACTCTGAGACTTTAAGCAGAACACCTTGGCACAAGCCCAGCTCTCAATAGCAGAAAGCTCATGAGAAGTTTGGTGAGGTGCACTTCAGCATTCATCAAATCACAAAATGATCCATCACCCAGTCTCTGTGAAACTGGTGAGCAGAAATAGCTCCACCTATGATGGATCTAAGGAAACTACAGGCTGCAGGATGTTGGAAAGGGCATGGAAATAATCAACAGGGATATAATAGAAATGCCTTGAATGTCAGCAGACAAATGACTGGATTTTTTTCCCAATCTTCTCCAGTCACACTGAAGAAGCAGGCTCACGAGTCAGTAGCCCAACTCTACACTTCACCCCTCAGATACGCCAGTTCGTTTTCTCTGGCCCATTTGTCAAGCGAGATCTTCATTCCTCTGCAAAATCCTCACATAAGAGGCATTATGGTTCAATTACATCTCAAAGCCATTCTGGATAGAGTGTACTCTTTTTCCATTGCATAGTGCGGTGGAGCCAAAGAGGCCAGATAGAATATATATCGCCTCAAAACCACACCAGATTTTTCTGGCAGCAAAGCACAGACAGAAGCCGATGTGAGGCAGGCAAAGACCCACTGAGCCACCGTGCCAGGGCTCACTTCTCAGATTGTCTCTTTCTTATATGTCACAGAGACAAGTGAGCACCTAACACACTCAACAAGCAGGGAATCGAGGAATACAGAGAAAGAGGAGGTGTGACATCACAATCCACTTTGCAACAACTACACAAACACGCCCAATAAATGAACACGGTTGGATACGGTCAGTTTCTCCGGTGTATTTCTAATTATAAATCCACTGCTTCTTGTCATCATCATCATCACGAAGCCCCATTGCTGCACCAGCTAAGAGGCCAGCTGGAGAGGAAGGTTCAGTTTCTGTTGTTGGCTGGGCCCATTCCTCGGTAGAGCTGGCAGCAGGAAGGACCTCTCTGTGCACTGCGAGCCTTTTCCAGGCGAGAGCACATTCCTCCTCCAACCGCCAGCCTGTACTCCGACTCCCGAAGGAACAGACGGATCATGTGGCCACTAACAAGAGAAGCCTCAGAAAAACTTTTCTACCTCCCATTACTCTTTCTCAATCATCTGCTTCTGGCTACCATCCTCAGTTCCTCCACAAGTTGTCTGGATCTCATTCACGTGCTTTAATCGGTCACATTTGTTTTCTTGTCAGAGTGTGGACTGAAACAGGGTCGTGTCAGAAACTGCGCTTTTATCCCTGTTGAGATTTGTTTTTTTATATGAGCAAAGTTTTTGATTATTTACGAAACGGCGTGTTTACTTACACAGCATGAAATATTTAACGAGAAGAAAAAGGCTGTTAAGGCTCGTGAGCCTGGAGTGTGTGTTCTACTACGCATGCTGCGACCAATTGGAATAATTGTGGTGAAACTAGAAACCTGAGAGATGTTAAAAACATTTCCTAAACTCAATATTTTTAGAAAAGTGTAAGGTCACCAAAACAAGAATGTGTGTGTGACCCCGCTGAACTGAGAAAATAAAGACAGCATGGAGTCTGTTTATATCACATGCCTGACTAACTCCTCCTCGTCGCTTTACAAAAATTATCATTTCCATTCTCACACCACTTCTGAAAGCTGAGCCGGGGCACTGACCGATTCTCGTATACATCAGTCAGTCCTTCTGGTTTGTCAAAGACTCTTTGTTCATGGTTGACTTGGAAAGAAAGAAAAAAAATCCCTACTTTTCTTTGTGTCTACCTGTCTGCGAGAACCTACAAGGCTGAATTTTGTGAGATATGGTCGAGGGGTCACGAGCCAGGGAAAAATCCCATTTTGATGCTGTGTTTTGGAAGCAAAGATTATTATCATGGGTTTGGTTACAAATTACATATTAAAGATGAGTGGACTACCGGCCTTGGAAGAGGTCTGCTATGACCACACAATGCAATTATAAACCCAGAATAAAAGCAGCACATCCATGAGAAATCTCCCCATCTCCTTACTCTCTTAGGCAGATCAAGAGAGAAGAGCTACTGGAACAATTTCATGTATAATAAGAATGCAGAAGGAGCAGGGTGGAGAAAAATATCCACATCTAATGACTGCAGGATTCCACGTAAGGCCATCGAACATTCAAGATTGATTGGCTCTTTATGGTTGAGACTAAGCAGCACATAGGAGACGAGCATGGATATTAAAAAGGAGATTGAAATCCAAGGACATGTAAAGGGAAAATCCTGATGACAAGTACTCAATGAATTTGAGATGAAGCCATGAGGGAAACACAGCTGTATGACCAAACTAACCCCCCCAACCCCCCCTCCTTTTTTAAATCCTCCAAAGCCTGAAGGAAAATGACATAAAAATAGGCAAACCATTCTCCCCACAGAATGCATCCAGGCTGGGCATGTGACCAGAAATAAATTACACAAGAGTAAAGGTTTTTGTAAAGTACCAAGTGCCTCGTATGCCTATGAAGAAAAATATTCAGCAGCACTCAAGAAGCAAATAGGAAGCATATCAATAACCAATTTTACAAAGTGGAACACTTGAATTTTACTAGTAAGAGGAATCTTTGTACGAGTCAGGCGTTCTCATCGGATTCTAATTCAATCAGGTGATGAAGATCAGACTAAAGAACTCTTAGCCTGGACGCCGGTACACTGGAGACAAAGTTACCCTTTCAGAATAAAATACGTATGAAGATTTCAGCTTCTGACAGCATGTAAAAAGAAAAGAGTTTGGCGAAGATCTGCCAATTTTATGTCATCGTGGAGATTCGATATCTAAACGAAGCCCGCTGGTATTTTCGGTCTCCCCACTCAGACGCAGTGGTAGCCCACTCTCTGTTCCCCAAACGTTCTTCCCAGTTTTCCTTCTCATGAGCACGCTACCCGGTCATTCTCCCACTAGGTTACACTTCGTATATGCATGAGTGCGTTTTCTACTTTTTAATTGACTAGAAGGATAAATAAAGAAATAAATAGAGCTGGTTACGACCCCAGATAAATGGGGACGGTTGCATCTGGAGGGGCATCTGGCGTAAAATCGTTGCCAAATCAAGCATCAACAACAGGGATCTACAATAAATCTATAAACAATATTAACAAGAACGTGTAAGTGTAATTTCAGCTGAGCAAAAACAAGTTAATTGATTTGGCTTGCTTTTACATCCCCACACATTCTGCATCTTAAACCAAATTTCATTATCACTGCAGTTTAAAAGAGCCAGTGACTGATTTCATAGATTATGCATGAAAGAGAGACGACAGTTCAAGAAGACAAACAGAGCCAGTGCCATTGTGGGGTATCTGCTGAAGCCAACACACTGCTGGGGCCCACCATAAAATCCCCATTGTCATGAATGAATAGCTTCTTTCTTCCACTTGACACATGTGATTAGCATGTTTATAACACCATTTCTTAAAACGGCCCGAGTGAACATTACGGATATTTCAGTCTTCTTCATTTTAATGTAATTGATAAGAATTGAAAATTGGAAACAAGTTCAATAAATATTAAAAGAAAATTAAGAGCATTGTCACTCCTTACTGTGGATCCCGTTCAGTCACTTTAATTGATGAGGGTAAGGGTGGATGAGCCGGTGGCTTTGTAGGCAAAGTGGCGGCTAGAGATGAGGGAAATCGTGGTTCCTGCCAATTACATGGATATAATTTGAGCCTAGCTCTAGTCTCCTATGTATGTTGAAGAGTTTAATTACTGGTGGTGCACCCAAGTTTATATTGCCCGTTTCCTTTGATCTATATTCTTACTTTCTTCTAATGGACATGCACTCCAGTACTGTGGATAGTTTGCTCTAATCTGCGCTTAAAGTTTAAAAACTATGTTTAATATGCACACACAATGAAAAATAAAGACAAACTCATTCAAAAGGATCTAAGTGGTCTTCAGAGTGTAGCAAGTAACACTGTGTCCAAATCACCCAGCAGCACTCCTAA